GTATTTTTCACAGTGCTGAATTAAAGGGCTGATGGACTAGTATAATTGCAAGGCTAAACTGAAATCAATAGGAGGGACCAGACAGCAAGCAAAGCTCTGGCTTTTCAATAGCTTTTCTCATATTCCTAAGTACCCTTACAACTTAATTTCAGAGCTTTTCCTCTTTTCTCCTGCCCCCTCCACTTGTATTTGAGTGACTATTAAATAACTTGTAATGGAAGCATTTGCTTGACAATCCACAAGCAGGTTTATTGGCCCAACTGTGTGGGGGTTGTTAATAACTCATCAGTGACTAACAGTTCAAGCACCGGATATCAGGCCTATCTTGACCCAGTGCATGGTCTTGCTGAGATTAATAGCCTTGAGTGATTAAACTGTAATTTATCACTGGAGTTCACTGCAGCGTGATTATTGTAGCATCTTGGAGGGTGTGAGGGAAACTGATAGTATGTTAAAGCAAAGGCCATCTATTAGTTCAACTAAATGAATTTGTTTAAAGGAGAGTGTAAGATCCAAAATGCCGTAAGGGTGTAATCCTATGCATGTTTAGAAAGAAAAAAGCCCTACAGCTCCCAGCATTCATCAGCCGGCATGAGTTGTGCCCCTAGTTTCTCCTTTTTATAGGGTAACTCTGTTCATCTATCTTTGAGATACCACTTAAATGTTTGTTATTCAGTTGGTTGAAGCTTCCAGCAGCTTCTTACCATGTTAGACCAGTTAAAATCTAAGCCAGACAAACTGGCCTTCAATCTCTCTCTCTCTCTCAATCTCTCTCTCTCTCTCACACACACACACACACGCGCGCGCGCGTGCTCTTTCCTAGCAAAAATAAAAATCTAAGTACCCAGTCTCTTCATCAGTTATCATCTTCTGTCAAAACCTAATCCAAGCAATGCATTTCTAACAAGCCCTGATTGAGTTTTAACATTGCAAAAGTATGAGAACTAGTGTGGTCTGATGGTTGGAGTGTTGAACCTGGGAGATCTGGATTCTTGTCCCTGACTTTGGCTGGATGACTTTGGCCAATCAATCACACTCAGCCTAACCTATCTCAAAGGATTGTTGTGAGGATAAAAATGAAGCTCCTTTGGTTTACCGCAGGAGAAGAAATAGGCCAGGTATGGATGAAATGCAACACTAACAGATTCATTCTTGGTAACCTGAATGTGTAACCTGCCAGAATGAGCCATCACTATCATAGTTATCACTGAATCTTACCACCCCATGGAAATAGTGCAAAATAGGAACTGAGCTAAGAAAGAATGGCAGTATTTCTAAAGTGGTGCATTAGCTCATGCTGCTGCTAACATCCACACACATGCTTCAGCCAGGATGATGCTTCAGATGAAGATCAGACATTACAGATCTTGTAGGACCACCTGGCCCTAGCAAGGCCCAAGGAACCTCCTGCATCAGTGCAGGGAAGCACATTTCAACAGCTGCTGTCCCTTAGCTGCTCCCATACAAATCTTCCAACACTGAACCTCACCTGTGTCAGAGAAGGAGGCCAAGCAAGTACCAAGCCCAGGCTCAGTTATGAGGAGGGTGAAGGGGTGGTTCTCCCCAGTGGGCAATTTAATTTTTTTACAGCTGCTGTGGGTGCACATTGCCTGTGAAGGGGACAACTTCCCACCCTCATCACCATCCTGATCCAAGCCTGACCCAACCAGACCATCACTCAGATGCAAAGCAGGCTACTGGGAATGAAGGGCTCCATATGAGTAGGGTCCTCCTCATGACGAGGAATTCATCCAGAACCCTTTGATGTGCAGCAGCTGAGTCATGGGTGGGGCTCTGGGAACTCAAGTTTATAGGCCTTCAGCTGGGATTTACTAGCTGCTGGAATAATACTTTTACCTCTGCTTCCAGTACCTTGAAACCTTGCTTCTGCTGACTGAACACTCCTGCTGCTGTCTCCTAGACTCCTGATAAGCCCATGCTTTTTTGCTGGACTGATAATACTGTTCATTGCATGTTCTTTGCTTGCTGATTTTGCCAAATGGATTTACCCTTGTTTGTCATATGCCTAGGCCTCAACCCACCAGTGTACGCACACATAACATATTACTTCTCCATTCAAGCTCTTGCAAGACTCTTTGTCTTGCCCTTGCACAGAGTGATTATCAAAAGAGCCAGAGCCTGGTACTGGATACTTCTTCAATACATTTTCTCCCTTTTAGTGTAACACTACAGAGGTAAATCATCTTTTGAAGAAACTGCTGAAATGGATCATTGGAGTTAAATGTCTCCGATAACCTGAAGGCTTAAAAAGGAAATTGTTCTCTAAAATCTCCATAAAGGCATCCCTGATTTATATAAGTTCTTTCAAAGCATAAATATGAAAAAGCATCCCTGTAAAGCAGGTCGCTGGAGTAATAACTCAGGAGAAACACAGAAACCCAGTAGTCCAAAGATAAGCATTGTTTCATATTTTCCTTGCCACTAAAAGCATTATTTGGTTTTGCCTATGCAGGGAAGCTCAACGATTCGAGGCCTTTTCTGGAATAACCTTAGTGGTGTGAGTCACTGCAGTGTTTAACACCACTCTGTTGACATGGGAACTCTTGGCTCATGCAAGAGGGTCCAACAAACAATGCTGCTTCCTTTGTCAGTCTTGCTTCACTCAGCTGAGGCCACTCCTGCATGGGAACACTGATGCTACAGTGCTTTTTAGAGTGCAGGTACTCGTGACAGTCCTCATAGCCACGTCAAGGACTGCCCAAACATGAAGACATCAGTGTTCATCCATGCCACCAACCCATTCTATGAACACCTGAAGGAGACTGTTCATAATGCTCCTGGGCCTTAATTGCTCATTGAAAACTAAGCTGCCCCCAAATACTTCACACTACAACAGGGAACAATATATTATTGCTAAGAAAGTTCCTTCCCAACTGCCCCTGTCCCAGGTATTCTGAGAATTGCTGCTAAGCTTGGAAGGAGCAGGGAAGTCTGAGATGGGTGGCAGATGACGTCAATGTACTTGCTAATTAAAAAGATGTAGAAAGCTGAATTATACTGAATTAGCTCATTGCTTTGTCCAGCCCAGTTCTGTCTGATCTGGCTAGCGGTAGCTCTCCAAGGTTGCAGGAGAAGGTCTTTCTGACTTTTTTGTATTTTTAATATGAAAATATGCAGAATTAATTCTGGGGTAGTCCTGTAAGAAGACACAATTTGCAGTGTTTGGTAGGACCCCCTGATGAGCAGGGAAGAAAAAGATCTTTTGAGTGGGCTTACCTTTCGCTCACACAATGTTGGATATCCATTGTCACAGCAGTTATGACAGCATCTCACATTCAGATATTTTTCTGTTAACTTGATTTTGACAAGGACTCTATTCAATTGCAGGTAGCACTTGCCAGTCTCATAGTGTTCCATTAACAGTATGATTTGTGAAAAGAAATAGCTGCACAAAGCACATTTTCCATTCATGAGTACCTCTGCATCACATATTGGCACTGCTTTAGACTAGGATATTATTTTGAATGTTACATCATAGATGGGCAATTCTGCCCAGCTTGGGATGCTAGTGAGAGCTTGGAACTGCAGCGCCTGAATAAAATCCACCCTCAACTTGGATGTTACCCAGTTCTGTCTGAAGTAGACTTTGAATAAAACTGTATTGTTCCATCACATTGGAACATTTTTTCCAAACTTAATAATAATCTGCATTTCTATTCCCTGGAAGGCAGTGCATCCTGTTGTGCTACAGCAGAAATGTTAAGTGGTTTTTTAAGTGATGTGGTGTGTTTTCTGTTAAATAAAAAAGTGCACTACTGCTACTTGAGTCTAAGGAAAATTGAATTGTAAAACGTGTCTACATTTTCTAGCAAAAGCTTCTAATTAGTATTCCTTTATTGACAAACCTTTGGCTTACAAAACAGATGTCAAATGTACTGGGATTCCTGAATGACATCTTAACATTCAGGAATGTGATGGATTCCATTTTAAGTGACCTGGTTGAAAACTACCATATGCCCAAAAAGAGCTGGCAAATACAGGTTTCCTAAACTCATACGTATAAATCCAGTGGTCCTTTCCCATAACCTCCTCATCTAGGAAATTCATCTTGTGCTGGATACATGGACCCACAGAACCGGTTGAGTCACTTGGAATGACTTGCCAAATCACTGCATGTCCTCTAAATCTTCCCTTTTATATGCAACAGAATAATGATTATGGCTACTTACTAGTATAAGTAAGTTATACCAGTAAGTAGCCATAATATTCCATAATACTCCTCCAAAACTGGTATAAGTTGCAGAGGAGTGATGACACCCTGGAGTGGATAGATTAAGTGTGTGGATTTAACGAACAAGCAGAACCAGTGCCACATAGACCCATGCCTCAGAAGGAAGAGTCCACTGACAAGCGTCCCCCGGAGTTGTGCCTCCTCTTCACCATGGTAATCTGCATATTTGCCCACTGCTCAGTCTAGGCCAGACACGGGTGGTGGTGGTTGTAGTCATGGTCAGGGTGAGGGTGAGGAGGAACATTAGATGCCCCCTGCCTGCTTGCTTACTGGCTCTCTGCCTGTCCAGCAAATAATTGGTAGTGATTGTGAAAGACAGAGAAGAGCAGGAGGAACAATAGCAGCTGATGACAGTGGTGAAAAGGGAGGGGTCCACAACCTAGAGCTGGCACTGGCATCCAGGCAGTGAGTTCTGCTTTTGAGTGGGGACTGGAGTGAGAGAGGGCCAGGTTGACACCTCCTTGCAAGCAAAGCTGATGAAATATAGAAATGGCAGCACCAAAGAAAGGAAGGTAGCAGATGGAATCATGTTGAGTGGATTCCAGCTGTGTACGCCTTATGACACTCAGCCTTATGAATTTGGTATGCAGCTCGAAGATCAGGTGATCACCTTCCCATGTATTTCAGGTATGTGAAGCTGAATATATAATAGTCACACAAGTAAGTTGCATCCTTGCCAACTAATAGTCCAACAGTGTTTGTGATACCAGTGATATATGTTTAATTGGTATATTGCCATTAAGAGACATAGAATGATATAAAGCTCAGAGGAATTTAATAATGGTTTGACAGACTCATGCTGAAGGGAGGAGACAGTCCAGATGACTGAAAATAGCAGCAAAATATTTTGTTATGTGTCTGCAGAAAACTCATTACAGCACATAAATGACAGTTGCCTTAACTGCTTATTCATTGTGTTTATAACTGTGGCGATGTTTGTGGGGGGATTTTCCTAGTTTTTAAAGTGAGGCCATGGAAAGACACTTCTTTCTGTGAAATATAATTTATCACTTATAAAGAAGACGCAATTAGCAGGTTACTAATTTTTTCTCAGTTGTGTTTTTTTCATTATAAATGGTAAGAAACACTGTCATCTCAGTCCATTTTAAGTCTGCAAATGCTTGGAGTTTGCTTAGTATTTTATTTGTTTGTTTAAAACAAAATATATACTATTTCCAATTTTTAAAATCCTGAAGGGATTTACAACAGAGATGGCACTCCAGCTATTGGTTGATTTATAAGTAAATAACTATAAAGTAAAGCATCATTATATGTAGATATCTTTCTGTGGCTAATGCAAAGGAATGCTCCTCAGACTCATTAGGGGTTTTTTCCCTTTGCTTATTCAAACATGGATGCACTTATATATAATGATATGCTGTGGTTTGTTTTTATATGGACAAATTTAGAAAAGCTATAAGCAGGTTGGAAGCTTTTTTTCCCCATTTTTAGCTAACTACTGTTCAGTGTTACATCTGAACCCAGGCAAGTTATGGTTAGTTTTAATTATAGTTTACTAAAACAAGCTACTTGCAAATCTTAGTGTATGAAATGGGCTTGTTGTAATAAACTGAAATTAAAGTTCATCTCAGTTTGTCTGGGTTCAGATATAACACTAAATCATAGTTAGTGAAAAGCTTCCAATGGAGGAAGAGAGTGGAGGGAGGAAGTGTGCAATTCCAAGGCTTGCCAAGACTTGTACCTTTAACGGAAAAATGGCTTATGGTTATGTCTAAGTGCAACCACAGTGTGAGAGCTTGTGCCACTTGAGGAAATGCGTTTTTTTTAAATATTAAGTCAACAACAAAGATTTCGAGAGGCACAATAGGGGTTGTAGCCCTTTTTCTGTCTAACCTTGCATAGGATTGTGCCCTAGGATGCTTGTCATACTGTGCATTTTCTATCAAGCCAACTTAAAACTGAAATTGCACACTGATTTTTATGGAGCTGGAATAATCATTCATTAATCTGTGATATGGTTCAAAGCTACTGCTGTAATAAACTGCAATAACCTTTCATCTTCTAGACTGGCAGGATTTAGAAAGCTGAGTTTATAATTCCAGATGATCCCATTGCCTAATGAGAAGCTGTTCCTCATACCAGCCATCACCTTATTTGGTTTGAATGGCAACAAAATTCTTGCTGACCATTGTCAGAGTCACTTATTGATTGCTACTTTCTCAGAAGAGCAGTAGTATACTTTACCACCTTCCATTTTACCCCATGGTGTTGTTACAGTACTTGTGTTTGTTTCCTTTGTCTTCCACTCAAATGCCAGTGTCCAAAGCTTGAACATTTCCATACTATTTCCAGGTGTTGGATTTTCATGTCTTATTTGGACATTTGGGTGACAGAGGAATCTATTGGATACAGAAGAACTCTATGAGCTGAAGTCAGCCATAAAGAAAAGTTGGGCAAGACCATTTGATCTGGTCTGGATCAGTACTTTTGCACATAAGATAAAGAACGGGGTTAGGGTTCTTTGGATTCATACTAACATAACTTTCCACCACTGGCTTCAGATGACAATTAAATTTACTTATTACATTTCTGCACCACCTGATAGTTGAAACTCCTTTAATGGGTTCACAATACCACAGATCTTAAGCCATAAAATATAAGAACTGAATAAATGATAGCTTAAAATCTTAAAACAAATAGTGACAGCATAAAACCATGGAAAAACCATCAACAGAACTAAGACATAATCCTTAAATTCTTTTCACATTTTGACTGTTGGTAAAAGATAAGACAATAGTTAGACATTGAACTAAACGTAGTACTAAAAGAACATAGTACAACTGCAACCCTGTGCCCACATACATAGGAGTTAGTTTCACCAAACTTAATGGGACTTCCTTCTGAGCAGATGTGTATAGAAGTGGGCTGTAACTGAACTAGCGTGTTGCAGTGGTTAGGTTCAAATCCCTACTTAAGCAAGAATCTCATCAGCCAGATGTAACTGTCTGTGCTATAAGACTCAAATAATGCTTAGTTCCTTGGAAGAAAGGCTCACAGATGGATTGGAAACATGGAGTGTACTGTTTGTTTAATTGTAATTCCTTTATTTTTCCTTCTGTGTGATTCCAATGACATGACAAATCCTAATAATGTGTCAGAGGTAGGAAAGCTGCTCTCCTCCAGGTATTTTAGAGTATAATTCCAGTAAGGCTCAGCCAGTATGGCCTGTGATCAGGGATTAGGGGAATAGTTGATTAAAACATCTGGAGGAAATCAGGTTGGTTTCCTTAACTTAGGAGCATACTAACAAATGCGTTATTAAATTGTATATCAATCATGTCTTCATACTCCTGTAAATCTCTCATCACTTCACAGCTTACTGTTTGATAATTCACAGCTGTCTGAGGTGATATCAAAGCTGTTTCCATGAAGTCTGGGTGCTGTACTATTTTATTATTTAATATTTTAATGTCCCACATTCATCCAAGGATCTCATCATAGATTGGTATATTTTTCCCCAAGATAGGTTGGACTACAAGAGTATGACTGGTCCATTTACACCCTGTAAGTTTCATGCTTGAGTGATGGTTTGAACCGGGATCCTCCTAAACGTTGTATCATACTGGCTCTTATTCATGCATGCATGTAATCCACTGGTGCCACAGTTAGGAGGTTAGGAAAATGCTTGTGTGAATCAACCCTTACCCTTAAGCACAAGCCATTTGTGTCTCAGTTTAGAAACTGAAATTGCCCAAGTCATTTTGTAGCAAAAGCCAAATGGATTAGGCCCATTTTGCCTAATGATCAAGGAAGCTAAAATTATTCCCACTTGTTTCCCCCATATAAGCTTTTGTAAATTTAGGGTCCAGAGAAGAATGAAAGGAGAGGAAAGCCTGTGGAGGAGATAAAATTGAAAAATCAATAAGGAGGGGGAATGTTTTAAGTCTGCGTTATGGCTGGTTGGAAAATCTAATAAGGCTGTTTTGTAAGAATGATTAAACATTGCTATACACTCATGCTGCTCTGGAGTCCATGATGATGTAATTAGCGCCATGTGACCTTTGCGTTATGCTTTCAAATGGGGTCTATAAATATTTAATACACGGTAGACTCACTGTTTTCTCTTTATGAAAGAAGAAAAGCTACTGTCAACCACAATGCTGCCCGGCATTCAGAAGCTGCACAATGATGGCTGGTCTTATACTAAACCCTATCAAATCTGATTTTCTGCTTCCCCTAATCAAGCTAGCTGCAGTCAACCACCAGGAGCCACCAAATGCTAGATGGCTCCTAAAGAGCTATTATGGGAGAACAAGTGTTCTCTGCAGAGCCTGCAGCAAGCAGACTGCATCAGTACTCCTGTAACCCTGCACTGCCAAAGCACCTGCGTAATGATTATATTTCTTTATTGTTTTAATTTTCCACATTTTATGTCCTGTCTTATGGCTGAGACACATGGTAACAGCATGGCCATGTGGATTTTCTTGGCTATTTCCCATGGAGGTAACACCTTCAGTGGGGCACCAATTCCATGGAAAAGACCTATGCTGGGTTTGCACACCTTGAAGCCTTCCAGATGTATTAGACTACAATTTCAAGCATCCTCTGGAGAGTGGGGTTTCTAATCTAATACACAAGGTGGGCACCAGTTTGAGGAAGGCTGTCCAGAGCAAAAGCCCATTTCACACTTTCTTCCAGTGTCAAGGAAGTTGCTTCCTTGTTCTTTAGTGTCATAATTCTGTGGAGTTGGTTAGTAGACAGAGGGCAGGTTCACACAACACAAGAAGCCATGATAAAATCTTACCTTTGTGGGTCTGCTGTGTCATCCAGAGCCAGTTCTGCAGTTACTGCATGGTAGGATTAATTTTCTGAAACAATGAAGAGAAATGACTTTTGTTCTAAGCTTCCCATTATTCCCTGTGGCTTGTTTGGTTAACCGGACCTAATGAGAACGCCATTTACCATTGTTAGTACGGAAACACTATAGTGGGAGTGGCCAGATTTGCTCAACAGAAGGGCTGCATATGGTAAATGTCAGGTGCTTGAGAGCCACAAGTGGGTGCCCACGGGCAGTGAGCTACAAGCCACAAAAACTCAAAGAGCTGTATGTGGCTCCCAAGCCTCAGTTTGGCTACTCCTGTGCTATAGAGTCACCTGACAAGAATGGCTGCAGAACTTTCCGCATCTAGCCTTCGAACTCTCTTGCCCTCAGCTCCGTAGCAACAGACGCATCATTGCTCACTTTATTCCCACTGGGTAAGTGCTGTGTCCATCTCCCGGTTTACTTATGGAAAAAGGGAGAGAGCATGAAAATACATGAAAGGAGAAGGGAGAATCATGGTGAAATGGTTTATTTTAATTTCATGAAAATCTCTGGGAGCCAGAGCAGCTGGGAAGTGCCACAGACATGCAGGTACATTCGGAAGGGTGAACCTGCCTTAGGACTGCAGCAGATCAGTCAGGATGAGGCTACTCTGCTCCATAGGCAAGAGGAGGGAAGAACAGGGATTTTGTTCATAGGGACTGCCAGGATGCATGGTGAGCCCAGGAAACAGCAGAGAGTGTGGAAAACACGCTGCCTGGGTAACCACCTGGGCAAAAGTTCAGGCAAAATTCCATGTGCCATGGAAAGAGCACAGGGCTTGCTGTGTTGTGTGAACACTGCCAGAACCTTCCTTTCAAGTTTCTTAGCTGAATGAGATACTTTGAGCATCCTAAATCTTAAACTAACACTTTAGTCCATATTGCCCCAGTTTGGTGCCTTCCAACTATTTTGGGCTACAACCCTTAGTATTCCTGACTGTTGACCATGACAAGACTGGCAGGAAGTAAAGGTGCACAGGTGGAATGGGCTTGTGAGCAGTCAAGGTGACTTCTCGGAGAAATTAACCCAGTGGAAATGAGCCTGTGGAAATTAGCTCAGATGAGATGAAGGTCCCTCTTCAGGAAACTCCATTGAAAATCACCACCACTCTCTCTTCCAACTTTCTTCTTATTCACAGTGCTTAGGTCTTCTGTGAACAGCAAATCAGAGCCAGCTGCTTAGGATTCTTTTGTTAAGAAATTGTTGCCAAGACTGGCAAAGACTAGGGTTCATTAGAGTTATCTGAACTTTATAGGCACAGTATCTTTCATGTTAATGGAAGGGCACAGGTGGTGCTTTGCCTTGGGAATCCCGATTTCTTTGAGTTAGTCCTAGTGCCCCAGCTTTGCACACTTTCCTTGTTTAAAAAGAGACCCCCCCCCCCGCTTTCCTTTTCTGCAGCTACCTCATGTTTCTAGCCACTATGCAATCAAAGCTGCTTTTTCCCATTCTAGACTCACTCAGTTCAACCCTTCAGGCACTGCCTCACCACCCTGAAGCAGGTCCACCTTCTCTTGGCACTTGTTTGGAGAGCATGCTTAAAGTCTCCTCTTAGGGAGCAGTATGCAGTATGCGTCTGTGTCTGCAGGAGACCCCTCTGGTGGTTCCATGCTGCCATGGCTGTTGCGGCCAACAGGACTGAGATCATTCTTTTTCATGGCACTGGACTCATAAAGGTTAAAAAGATCTCTCAGAAGATGAAAACAATTTCTAATTTGTGCAAGAAAGCAAGGCACTTAGAGGATCTGTGAGGAATATATTGCTAACAGCAGCACATAATTGTTTTATGAGCGCACCTATGTTTTCAAGCAGCACACGTGTAATTTATTCCACACTGACCTCTTCAGTAAAGTATTTGTGTCAACAAGGCTGTTCACATAGCTCTGCTTTTCATATTGCACACTTTTACCCTACCTGTGTTTGCAACATGGAATGAAGAAAAAGTGGGAGCACTGTTCGGCACTGTTTTTGTTAACATTTGAGAGTGACATCAGAGGCATAGTGTGTTTTATAGATATCATCTTGGTTTCACCACACTGCAGCTTGTTACTATATTCTATATTGTGTTGGGACACTTTATACTAGGCTTGGGGTGGGGTGGGGTGCGGAGGGGGGGGCAACCAGAGGCTCTCCAGAAGTTGCTTGAGTACAACTCCCAACATGCCTGACTATTGGTCATGCTGTCCGTGACTGATGGGAGCTACAACTGGAATCCTGTAAGAACAGCAGAAGGACAGGTTGCTCATATTTGCTCTGTACAGTGACTATTGCTTTTGCTTTGGAGTTGTTTCAATCAGAGTGCCTCCTCACGTATTTGATTTCATTTTATTATTTCATTTATATGCCACCCCAATAGCACACAGGGATCTCTGGGCTGTTTACAAACATTAAAACCCCAAATACAAACAATAAAATACTCAAATAAAACATAAAATGCTAAAAAACAACACTAAAAATATTAAGCAGCAGTAACACCATATAAAAATTTAACCCCACAATATAGCAACAACAATAACAATATTAAAATATAAATATATTAAAATTCTCACTTACTAGTTTTTTAAATATCTGGTAAATAAAAAGGTATTCACCTGGCACTGCAAGGATAATAAAGATGGTGCCAGGTGTACCTCTCTGGGGAGCATATTCCAGAGATGAGATGCCACCACTGAAAAGGCCCTTCTCCTGTTTATCACCCCCTTTTTCTAGGGGCAGGTTCCCTGAGAAGGGCCTCTGTAGCTGATCTTAATGATGAGGTAGGGACATATGGGAGCAGTCAAAAACATACTTCCAACCCTTTGAAGCTAAAAATATCCCCAAAACCCAAACTAATTTTTGTGCAAATACAGGATATATATCTGTTTTTCTCTCTTTCCAAAACATTTAAGGCTGTGATATGTGCAATATCAAGTGGCAGAGAGGTTGAGCTCATTGAGAGGAGGAGGTAGAAGGAGATTGTAAAGCCTTTATTCCAGGGAGTTGAAAATTTGGAGTTGGAAACAATCACTTCCCTTTCCCTCTGAGCAAAGCTCTCTACAACATGGCCCTGCATAGGAATCATCTAAGCTGAAAAGTCAGTGATCCTTCTCCCTCCTGCCCTGTTGACTCTCAGTTAAGCACTGCATGAACTGATTTGGTTCCTCAGAGAGAAAGAAGAAGAAGGTAGACTGCCCTACATCTCATCTATGGAGTTAATTTGATGGCACTTTATCCTGTGCTTTACTATTTTTAAATCTACTAGATTTTGCTCTTGCTTGTGTTTTGCCCTCTTTTATGAGCTCCTTCTAGCCTCTTCCAGGTTTGTGTCTGTGCTAGATGCAAATTTGCTTGCCCTGCTTTCCCTGTTTCTCTCATGCTTTGGGCAACTTAAAGCCACTAGTTCATTGCCAACCTTTTTTTCCTGTGGAGAGAAGATTAACAAAGGCACCATTTGAGAATTTGTTTCCTGACACAGGCAACTTAGAAATACTTCTATTAATAATACTGCACTACCCTATTACATTTGTTGAGTTGATTCATTTGTAAGATTTGCAGTTGTTCTATTTCCTAGCAAGCTAGGGATTTGAAAAGGCTAGTATGATTTCAAGCTCTCTTTAAGTCTTAAGCACATATTTGTTTTCAGCCCAAAGAGATGCAACATCTGATGTCAAATTTCTTGGTATTTAACCATGCCGAACATTCTTTCTGCACGGGGAAACACTGATTAACATTTGAAATTCCCACTGCCTAGGTAAACATCTGCTTTCACTTTTAAAATTCAAAATAACATTGAAAACACATTTTACACATTTTACTGTGGTTCTTATGACTCACTGCTTTGAAATACAATGTCCTTCCAAGCAAGCCACACAGTTGTCTTTCTGCCCATATCTGTAACAGTTTTGTTCACCTGTAGTGCAACATAACGGAATCACGGCATCAAATGAAATACTGTTCCGATGTAAACCAAACAGTTTCAGTGTAACAAACTATTAAAGCCATTGCATGCTGTTATCTTACGCAGGCACATAGCAGCCTTCCCCAGCATCTGTCAGGATTTTTTGGACTACAGCCTTCAGCATTCCTGACCATTGGCCATGCTGCCTGGGGCAGATGGACACTGAAGTCCAAAACAGGTAGAGTGCACCAGGGCGAAGAAGGCTGGCATAGCTATCAGCCTGCCCATATTTGAATGCCACTGGGAGGTCCTTTCTGTGGCCCTGCTCCATGGAGAAACCACAATGCTTAAATTAGGCCCATAGCTCTGTGCTAGAACACACACATGGCATACATGAAGCCACAGGCTCAGGTTTTTGCACCTCTAGTTAAAGGTTGTTGACTAGCAGGGCTGGGAAAACATTCTGTCTGGAGACCTGCCTCACTCACCACAAGCAGGACTGAGCCAGATACACCAACCGCCAAACCTGATTGAATCCAGACTTTGGGCATCATCCAGTGCAACTCTGATAACGCTCCAAACTTGGAAGTTTACAGGCAACGTGATTGAGGGCAGAAGGAGAATGGAGCTGAGGCCTGCCTTGGCATTCTTCCCATCCTCCAAAGCACTCAGACAGCCAGTTTTGTTTCACACTAGCTCATAAGGAGAGGAGCCAAAGGTACCAGAAGGATTTCTCATATGACAGGGCTGCCTTGTGCTTCCGCTCCCTGCCTCCCAGAAAGTTCCCCGGTGCCAGCATGGAAAGAACCATACTGGTTGTGACAGTGGAAGGAGGGCACTCCGGATTTGGAATCCCAGGTCTGACCTCGACATGCTTCTCTGAGATTAGAGATGGCACTCCAAATTATCCTGTGGCCATCCACACAGCATCTAAGCAACCATAGGATCGTGTCTTCACCGCACTTAAGAGCCATACAATGAGGAGTCTCATTGAAATCCATGGAACATGGTTTACTTGAAGGACGACTAGGCTAAAGCCATTTCATATGTTCACAAAATAGTGGCATTGCTCAATGATAAATTCAGAGGTGCAGGTGTTCATCATAACCATCCTAATAACTCCCAAAGAAAGTTCAAAAATATAGACAGCTGCATTAATGTGCATGCACGTGCGTGCTTGGGTGTGTATATACATATGCAATACACAAGCAGCAGTACCTGTCACAATGGCATAAAGCACAATTTATTAGGATGAGCTGGCAGTCATAAAATAGTGAGATAGTATAAAATAAAATATAAATAGATATAAAATAGTATAGCAGTTAGTATATTGGACTCAGCTGGAGAAACCTTGCATGAGAAAACAAAAGAGAGGCAGCATGTCCCCAAACTGCTTAAGACCTTGAGCTCAAGATTTGACAAGCGTTTCTCTTCCCAACTGCTGGGAGAATGCTTTATCACAAGGTGAACAGGCCAGTCTTAGCAATTTTAATCTCCATTATGAGCAGGCTGTATGTAAACTTCATGGGTTTTAATTTCCCATTCCAGACCAACACATGCCAAAATACAGCAGAGAAGGTTCAACAGTATATTTTGGCTAGGAAAACCCATTTTCCCCCAGCTTCCATAAGGATTTCAGCTAAGCTCAAAGGGAGGTCTGAGGAAGGTGGCAGATGACATCATCATCCCTGCTGATGAAAAAGCCCAGGTGCCTCAGCCCTGCCAGAGCCAGCTCCTGTACCACTGCTGTTGCCCCAGCTTAAAACACAACTTCAGCTAATAGGTTGTTTGAACAAATAGGTTGATTTTTTTAATGCGTCAGATATGCATATACTTGCATATTGTCAGAAAAAAGGGCACCATTTAGGTGATACAGATGTCATAACAGATGTTATTTCAGAAGAAAAGTTTTCACCATTCTAGACTGGTACTAGCTCACCTGCAGTGGTGCACCCAGGACTGGAACTGGGGCCAAAAGTGCAGAACTGTGCATCCTCCAAATGACCACCCAAGGAATGCCAAGTGTTGTGGGCAACAGAAATAGACTCCTTTTTATTCTTGTATTCATGTTGTGCTGTGATTTAAATAAATATAAAGTGCATAGTTGGACAAACTTGTAGAGGTGTTTCTTTAAAAAGACATCGTGTAGAGGCCCTTGTCAAGCATGAGATGGTCACTGTGTGGGGTGCAGGGACAACAGTTAGTTGTGCAACTGAAGTAATACACATGGCCTTATAAAGGGATGTACCATAAAACCTTTTAAGTTCAAGGTCAAATTTTACCTAAGTCTACCACTGCTCAGCTACATTCTTGTAAAGTGCTAGAATTTTATAAAATGATTAATCTTAAATCTGCTGCTGATAATCAGGACACCTTTTTGAAATAACTGGGCAATTGTTGTAGACATGGTTGATATTCTTACTTTGCAGCTGCACCAGTCCCATGGAATCCGCACTGCCACGAACAGGGATAGGGTAGGTTTCAAAGGGAGTGGCTGACACAATTGGGTGGTATTGGTATTTGGATAAGGATAGACTGACCATAATCCTGCCATGTTTTTTCCAGAATTTATTTATTTATTTAGCTTCTGTACTACCCAATAGCCAAAGTTTTCTGGACAGTTTAAAACAAAAATTGGAGACTTAGCAGTAAAACCCACTGAGCTTTTATTTTTTATGGAATGCTGATAATTAAGACAGTAGCTTGTAAAGAAGCAGTATCTAGGGTATACTCCTGCAACTAAGTGCCCTTCAAATGTTTTGGACTCCAGTTCCCAGGCTTCCCAACACTTTGGCTGGAGCTGACCTGAGTTGTTGGAAAAGGCTGATCTAGGAATCTTTGAGTTCTTTCACATGTTCAGTGACATTTCCCTTGATAGGCCATTTATGCAAATGAGCTCTATAATGAAGTCTGCATTTTTAATTAGTTGCCTTTTTATTTTAAAAGACAATCCTGTGCACTTTTTATCTTTTATATTGCTTGAATTAACTGTGAACGTTTCTTATGGGTATACTTTAAATTCCCATCTCATGTGGGTTAATCGCAGTAATGAAAAGAGCTTCCTTGCCTGTCCTTTAAGGGTTTGGCATACTAATGAGACTGTTTTGGAAGTGCTGATGGAAATTGTCTACTTCCTTTTTAAAAACACATTTAGTGTGACCTTTTTTGAAAGTGAAAATTTCTTCATTTTAAAGGATGGTGGGAGGAAGAATAAGAGAAGCAACATGCTTTGATTTTTAAAGCAAAATGCTGGAGATCTACAAAGGCAAAGTTCCTTATCTCTTAACCATGTGACCTCACTCTCTAGCTTTTCTCCAGTTCCATTTCTCCCTATTCTGCTTTCCTCCACCTTAATAATGATTCATCATAGTTCCCATGTCAAACGGGTTGAAATAGGATTGCAAACTTATTAAAGGGCAGCCATGTTGCTTGACATTAACCATGGTTCAGAGTTTGTTTTGTTGTTGTTGTTGTTGTTGTTGTTTGTGCAGACAAAATCCTTTACCATAGTGGGAGCAGCTCACACACAATCTCATAGACCTTTTGTGATCTCTTAAGCATGCACCAGTCCTGTGTTAAGGTGTGATGGAAACACACAGTGATTAATAACAATTGTTAATTTCATAAATTCCATTTTCTTCAAAAGTACAAGGCAATGATTGACAACTGGGTTGAAAACAGAATGAAATTCAGCAAGGACAAATGCCAAGTTGTGCACCTAGGAAAAAGAAATCAAATGCATAATTATAAGATGGGGGAACATTTGGCTCAATACAGCAAGTGAGAATGATCTTGGAATTGTTGTAGATCACAAGCTGAATATGAGTCAACAGTGTGATGTGGCTGCAAAAAGTGCAAATGCTCTTTAGGCTACATTAATAGAAGTATCACTTCCAAATCCTGTGAAGTACTAGTATTGAGCAGGGGGTTGGACCCAATGGCCTTCTGGCCTCTTCCAGCAATCCCCCAAGGATTTCTGCTGGATGCTTCAAAAGAGATGAGGATCGACCCATTAATTTTAGCTCTTCTGGGTCTTGTTTGAAGAAAAGAATTTACATAGTCCATGAATCCCAGCATATTGTGTTTAGTGAGCAAGAGAAACGTGGTATCACAGAGTAAAGGAACAGGGGAACCTGCTTTATTCCGGGGTCTGACCATTGGTCCATTTGGCCCCCTGCTGTTAATACTGACTGGCAGAACTCTCCAGAGTGTCAGGCAAAAAAAATTTCCTAGCCTTTCCTGAAGCGGCTGTGGGGGTCGAACAGCATGCAAAAAATGCCCTGAGCCTGTAGCCCCTTCCTTAGTACTTCGTATGCCTTTTTATGAGGCAACCAAGCCATCAGGCATCTCAGTGGTTTTTTTAATCCTGTCAGCTAGCAGAGTTGGCCACTGCATGAGATCATGAAACTTTTAACAAAAATTCCTGGAGTAAATATGTGTGTACAGAATGCATGGATGCCTGCTGTACTTGGCAGGATGGTATAGACCAGTGGTGGCAAACCTATGGCATGCGTGCCACAGCGGGCATGCAGAGCCCTCTCTGTCGGCATGTGAGCCAAGTCGCCCCAGCATCACCCCAGCAGTCAAGCATTGGATAACAGCACACTTAGGGGCCATGCGCATGCTCAGAAAGGAGTAGTGGCACCAGGCAATGACATTACGAGCCGCGATTTATTAGCCGCAACTCATCCAAGCTTTCACATAGCCGATCAGTGCACTGCCAAGGATATATATATATTTGCTTGGACTGGCTGTGAGTGGATTTTTCAAAACTAAAACCTCAGTTTTCAGGTTTTTTTGTAATGTTGGCACTTTGCAACAAATAAGTGGGTCTTGGGTTGCAGTTTGGGCAATTGGTCTCTAAAAGGTTCCCCATCACTGGTATAGATTTTCAGGTTATATAGAAGGAGAGACAGAAGAGGTAAATGTTTCACCTTTTATTATACTATTTAAAGTTGTTAAAGTTTGCTACAAGCAAACTTCAGATAACTCTGAAATTTATCACCAGCTTCAGTGTGCCCTGTGTTACAACCCCACCCTGTAAGGAAGATTAGACGAAATATAATTGTATGCTAAGGGCCACACTTCCAGCTTTATAGCTAATAATTATTAGCCATTTCATGGATTAATTTTTAGGAATTTCATCTTTGGCCTCTAACATTTATACCCAGAAAATAAACCCATTTCTTCCTTTTGCTACAAAAGCTCTTAAAAGTGCACTGTTCACAGATACCTATTTCCTTGGATATATAAAATCATTTGTGGTGAAATGAGCATTCAGTATTGTTACCTTTCTGTGCAGTGAAGGCTCAATTAGGGCAGGAATGAGCAAACATCAGGCTTGCGGGATACACTTGCTTGTTTTTACTAGAATCATGAGATCTACCAGCTAGAGCCAAGTGCAAAATAATGGCTTTGGGTAGTATTCATTTGCAAAGACCTAAGGAACAGGTACTTCTGTGCATATGCTCAGCCCAGGAATCAATTTTTGATTATTTCCTGCACCAAATTGACAAATCCTCCAAAACAAAATCCCACTCTTGGTCCCCCTCCCCTGCAATGTTCTTTGCAATTTGCAGTAGGCAGGGAAGGCCTTGTGGTTGTTGTTTTTATTTGACAACTAGACACCAGAAACCCTTGCTGATGGACTGCAATTCACCGAGATGCCTTCTGGGACCAATTCATCTTTCTTCCGCCTCCTGGATTAGGGATATAAAAAAGCAAAATAGAAAAATATTTTTAAATGTGTACAGCATCAAATTGAATAAAGTATGGTAGCTGGAAATATGTATTCTTTCCCCTTTTTATAAATGTGTTCATATTAGAAAAATAAAAATGCCTTTCAGTGTTTTCTAAAACTGATGACCACAGCATTCACTAAAGTTTGGGGGATGAATACTCAGAAGGAAAGGGAGTAATATAAGTACCAATCATTGGAAGTGTTTGTGTCTGCTAATTTGCAGATGTAATATAAACTATCTACTTCTTAAATCTTTCAGGATATTCACCATCATTTTCTTTTTGGGATGAAGTATTGCTGTAGAGTCAATTTTTGCTGGCAATACAAGCTGACAATGCCTTGGTTATAATAATCTTTTCATGTAAGAACTCAAGCAAATCACCTGAAAAGCTAGAGGAGTTCAGTGTGCTTTCATGTTAACACTTAGTTTGCCTAGAAAGGTTTTTAATAGTGACTGGGAATTAGATGCTAAGGCAAGTGTATGGCTGTCCCTGAGAATAAGAGCCCATGTCTTCTTTTCCTTCTTTTCCATGTCTTCTTTGCCTACCCCACATAACACATAGTATGGCATTGTGCTTGTTTCTCAGTCCTTGCTACACAAGATTGGCTGCCACTTGTAGAAGATCAGAAAGCCTACAACAAAATTATGTCATTCATTTTGTAGCACTAAATCAGCTTTCTTCAACCTGGCACCCTTCATGTGATTTAATCTGCAGCCCATGGCTGCCTGGAGTGTTGGGAGCCGTAGTCAGAGGCACTTGAAAGGTACTAGGTTGCTGGAGCCCGTGCTTGATGCTAGTGGGAGAGGAGAAGGGACATCTGACTGCTGGTTTTCAGCAGCAACTACCCTGGTGCTGCAGTCTTATTTTGGCCATGAATGGCATTGTGTATTTAAGTATGTTCAAATGGACATGCAGGCAAATGGCAAGTGTCTGAACAGATGTGCTTTTTTTAATTTTAGGTATAGAGGTATTCCTAATTGCATGTTTGGAGCCTGCCTTAAAATTGTGAATGTTAACCAAGGTAAAGATTAAGCAATATGGCTGCATGTTCCTTCGAGTAGAGAAGGGCTTATGCTTAATGTCCCATGCTGCTTAGTAATCTGTACTGGAGATTGTAATATCACTGCTGTTAAAGAGTGTGATAAATTTTTTATTCTGCATTTCTCTAAAGAAGCCGTTTAAGCATTTCCACTAAATTATGCAGTTATTTTAATATGTAGTGCTAGTAATAAACCTAGAAAGTGGGTTTGAAAAATTAGTTTGTAGAGTCAAATGTGTTCCTGGTGGTTGATTTTTTTTTAAAATATAATTTCATAAGATCAGCAGATGTTCCCATATGGTGTAGATAAACTCTGGCCTATGGGTTGCAGCCAGTGTTAGCTTACTCAGAGTAGACCCATTGAAATGAATTAACTTAAACCAGCACTGGATGTAGTCTGCACCTTCTGAATTTTAAATCCATTTATAGCTGAGAAGCAGGCTGTGTTACAGACTCTCACTGAAAGCTGTTTAACACCAGAGTCACAACCCTTTTTGAATGATGGGAACTGTGATCCAGCGCATCTGGATGACACCATAATTGGGAAGACTAGATTGACAAAAGAATGTGCCTTATAATAGGTACTATACGACTGGTCTCTGCTTGCTTCTGAGCATTCCAGAAATGGTCCCCCGCTTGTTCCTTTGGTAATATTCTAACCACAGCCATGATTAGCATTTCCCAGACTTTATTAAGCAACACATCTAATGTAGCCAAAAAGAAGTGTGTGGGCCAAAAGAAAATTTCCAAAATGTATATTCATGTAATTAGAGCACAATGCCATGCATGTTTAGACAGAACAAGTCCTACAATTCCCAGTATTCCCATCTTAAATGGGTGGATGCTGGAAGTTGTAGGTCTTATGCCTAAACATGCATAAGATAGTGCACTCAGAATTAGTGTTATTAGGGCAATCAAAGATCACAAAAATTGTGCAAGTTTTCAAAATAACCAGTTCTCTGAAGAGATGTTCCATCTACTTTTGGCTATTCCACACAGCAACAGTATTTGCTGTTGCAAATAATAACAATGAAAATATGAATCATCCTTTTTGGTTAAGTATGGAGGGGCCTTTGGAGAAGGCATAGACCAATTATGTTGAGGAGCTGGATTCCACCTGGCTAAGGGTAGCGATATGCCTTGTATTTTGCATCAAGCATCCTTCATTGCACAAAGCATATCACTGGAGCTGTTCTCATGTAGACTTCTGAACCAAATCAACTTACTAGTAGGGCTAGAAGTGGGTTGCTGTTTTAAGTCTTTTTGTTCATCTTTGTTGACAAACTTCTGTAGATCTATGAATCTGATTGCAGGCTATCAAGAATGTGTTGATAGTTGAGTTTCTCCCCATTTTTTAAGATAATTGTTGGCCAGAGGGACCTCTTCCTCACCAGCCTTAATGCTTTTAGATCTTGTTAAAACAGACAAAAAAGTGTTATTGTAATGCTTAGAAGAATTGGATGGTCATGTTATTGAAATTTAGAACTGTAGTCCCAAATAACAGACACTGGTAACTTCAAAAAGAATACCATTTCTGATAAAATGATGCTTTTGCCATGCGTGCTGGTAGCATGTGTGCACGCACGCACACACAGAAAGAGAGAGGAGAGAGAGAGATCAATAGTGTAAACAAGGCCTCTGGCCTGCATAAATCTGTAGCACAATGCTTTGAGAAATACAATATGGTTTATAGAAGTAGAGCAACCAGGATATTTGTTACTGTGGAATCGTAATGGAAAATGAGCAGTCAGATACAAATATTCTCAAATGTTGTTAGATTATATGCACAGAGGGGGTGCCATGCAGTATATCTTTTGGTTAAATTACTGGTTCAGCCTACTACAGAAAAGGGAGATGGTACCACATAATTATCAAGTTGTGCCATGTACTAGAGTAATATGGTGGTAACTCCCTTTTTGACATTTTGTTTTGCATTGAATTAAGTAAGTGTACCATACAAACATAGGTTTGTCACTGGTGATAAATTTAGACAGATTAGATGTAGGCTCTTTACTCATTGTGCATGTGTACCATATTGAACTGTAGTCAGATGAATACATCAATTAAAAATCCAAAAACTAGTTGACATTACCTTGATTAAGAGCAACCAAAACAACACAAAAGTCTGCATGAGCTTTTCTTGGCCTTGATAACAGTATTGCCTAACTGTGGATTTTGGATCTCTCACCTCCTCAAGAACACATCTCTCTTTGCTTTTTTATATAAATCTGTTAAAGGCATTCTTTTGCTGCTTAGATGCATATTTGGAATTCCTGCGGAAGTGCAACAGTGCCACCTGTTGGCTTACCCATATATCTTTCCTTTAGACTCTACTAGTTTGTCTAATATAAACACCCACTCTTTGTGTTAAGATACATGCATAGACATGAACACATACCATAGTCCGAACAGACTAGCAGGTGTAACACAGACACACAGGTCAGCATTATTTTTTGCCCTTTTGAGAACTTGGCAACTGAATGTATAAGCATGTTGTAAGCCGCCCCGAAGCCTTGGCAAGGGGTGGCATAGAAATGTTTTAATAAATAAATAAAATAAGAATTCAGGCCCCTGTCTGTCCAGTCAAGCATGGTTTCTTGGATTAATAGCAGTTCTTTGGGGTTCCAAGTGAAGGCCACCTTTACCAGACTGCCACTGCCAAAGGATGACTTGATTAATCCCAAATGCTCGTCATGTGCAGTGGAAGAAGAGAA